AGTGTCAATGGACAAAAATAGACACATCAGACAGCGTGTGTGGGTGCATTAAGCAGAGACACTTGGAACCCCAGGAAAGCAAAGCTGTCGCTACTGTCTACACTCCCCTGCCCTTTATGCAGTTAAGTCAATAAACTTTTAAAGCTGAACTCTAGGCAGATGGTAAAAAAAACATCATCTAATATCTCATTTGTAATTAGCCTTCTGTAGAGCACTGAAGATGGAGAGACAGCACTAGAAGCCAATCAGGTGTGACAAAAAGCATGCTAAGAGGAGGAGATAGCAGAGTGACAGACGTTACCCTGAGGAGAACTATGGGGAAAAACACTGACCCCATAGTTCTCCTTTAACTGCAAGAGTAAAGAGTCCGGTCACCACAAGAGAGCTGTACTGTCTGTTATGGGATGTGAATACTCCCAGACTGGATGGCAGCTTTGGTTGGTTACACAGCTCCGACGGCTCTATTTCCCCCTTTATATTTCAGGGCTTGTTCACACTGAAAGATGTGCGTTCCAGAGCGGTAGCTGCTGGAACACCCCGCGATCTTCCCCCTGCATTCTGGGGCGGGAGGGGGCGTGGTGGTGCATTGAATTCAATGGCACCGCTTCCACGCCCCCCACCCCCGCCCACAGTGCGATCGGACACGTGGCAATACTTTGCCTGCGTTTCCGTTCCACTGCAAACGCAAAAAAATAGAGCAAGCTGGTAACAAATTGAAGAGTGCGTTTTGCCATTTTGTTTTGCTTGACTGATTTGGTGCAGTGACGCATGGGGGGGGGTCTCAGCTGCCGTTGTGATGTGCGGGGTCCCTTGTGCGTTCCTGTACCTTTTTAAGGGAGGTTGGGCTTCCTCCTGACAAACCTGCACCCAATTTGATCTTTTTCCCAATGTGCTCCAAGATGGAGACTCTCATAGTTTAGAGTTAGGACCGCACTATAAGAGGTGCCTTGGCGCGGCTGTGCGGCTTTCACATTTTCTGCAGAAGACGTGTATCTAAACCTCTGTTCCTTTCCTGAGCGGTGAGACAAGTTTTTTTGCATGCTGGCTGGCGAGTGTGCTGGGAAACTTGTTGCTGTTGCAGTGGAACGGAACGCCGGCAAAGTTTTGCCACGCGTCCT